CCTATACTCTTAGCCCTTACTAGGGTGTATACATAGATTTCTCTCCAAAACCAAACGTTTTAGTAAACTCTGTGGTCTTAATGGATTTCCCGATACCTACTGTATTGGTTGAACTTGATGGAAGATAAAAATTTCTCCAAATTATTGTTTGCTGTCTTGCCCTTCTGTGACACCAGTGGCTGCTGTGCATCATGAAGCCAAGTGGCAGCAAATGCCGCTGCCGTCACTGGCTGGGGACATCCAGAAGGGGTGGCCTAACACTTCTGGTGGTAAGCAGGTTGCATCTCTAAACCAGAACTGGGCAGTAACTGTGGGGCTCATTTCTGAACAGACTTGATGCCTCCTTGGTTGAGAGGAGTTTCTTACTCATCTCTTCAAGTTCAGAGACCCATCTAACAAAACATAGTGGTAATGCTGGCTCTCCATCCATGTGGGTTGTTGTCCATTAGGCGCAAGAAGTCTCTTAAGGCCCTTTAAATGTGGATAAAATAAATTTATGCCGCAGTGTGGTTCATTCACAAGTAGACTGTATGGATTTGAAAATCCATTTGTTGTACCTGAGGAAATAATTGTTGCTTCGTGCTTCTCCCTGTCTTTCTGAGGACAACCAAGTATTAGGAACACTTTAAAACCTCATTGGAAGAGGTCCAGGGGTTTTCTGAGAACACTGTTTATGGTTTGTTTAAGGTTATCAATTATGTCTCAAATAAAAAGCTCTCTACAGATGATCATTGTGGTGTACTTTGAACTCATTTACAGAATATTTATCTTGGTTATGGCACTTTTTGTCACACAGCGATATTACTTTTCCATTATATACTGCATGTGACCACCACATAAGTTTGATAATAAATGTTGGGAAATAAAAAACAGAGTAAGTGCCTCAGTATGATAGCAATTCCCATGTGATGGGAAATAATGTCATAAACTTCAAATTACCTTTTAAATAAATGTTTACGTCCAACCCATCCATTAGATCGTAGCCCGAAGGGTCAGGAGGATCATTTCTTCATATTTCACTGTATGCATTATGATTGCTTTTTTAGGTGTAAATGATGTTTTTAAATGAAGAATGGCACTCGAACTATACACAAACAACGGCTAGACATTACTGAGTCGCAGTACGGCAGAAATAGCCTCAGCCACTCGACTAAATATAGAAGTGCAGCAGTAAATTGAATTCATTCTTAGAGAATATTTTTAATGGTGTACGTGCTGAAACGATACAGAAATACAGCTCGTGTCATTCTCACAGTTTGCAGCTTTGACATCTTAGTCAAGTTTAAATTCTAATTGTGGTTTGGTAGATGGCTGATTTGCTAAATGCTTATGAGAGTAAAGATTTTGGAGAGCGGAGAAGAGCATACCTGAGCGTGCAGAGTAGAGTACAGGTAACAAATATCATATTAATGAGGGTCTTAACCATCTAGGGCTTTGTGTGCTTGTGAAGTGATGCCACCTCTGTAAGTGCCCAGGGATGGTGTTTCCCTGAGAGCACCCGGTGTGAAACACCCCACACGTTGAGATCCCGCTATGCCCAATGCCTTTCATAGGAAGGGGACATTGCTGACCATCTCAAGGATGAAGCAAACCCAAATCCCACATTTAGACATTTCCCTGCTCTGAGCTGGACCTCCCTAGTCCATATGTCCTGGAGGAACCCATCTGGCTCCCCAAAACGCCCCATGCATCAAAGCTTTTATATGTGGTGGTGTTAACTCTGTTATCCCTGCAGCGCTAGGCTAAAAACCCAGCTGGGAGTTGAAATGGTTGGGCTAACAGAGACGTGGCTTTGAAAGAAGCAGAAGCTGTAGGTGTCCTGAGACTGCTGACGTGCACGTGGGGATGGGTCAGGTTCCTCAGCCTGGGCTGGGCTGGCTGGGAGTGGGGGAAGGAAGAGCTGTCAAGGGCCATTAGACCAATCTGGAAATAAATTCAAACAAAAAACTTCTGTTTACAGGCAGGGGAAAACCCATTGTCTTGGAGATTTAAAACACCAATCAAGAAATTCAGTGGTGTTTTTGCTACAACTATGATTTGACCTTCCTGTTTACATTAAACATTTTTTATAGCGGTGTGCAGTGACGTGGTTGCTTTGTTTAAGGTATTTGACAGTTACAACAGTTCTGGGACTAATTGTTTTGGTTCCATATATGTCAGGAAAGAAATATGTTAATATTTGAGATCAGGTTACTTTTTTTTTTTAAATCATTTATATTTGGTTTTCTGTTTCTCAACTTTACCTTCTTTCATGAGAACCTTGAACATGTTAAACTTAGTTTTAAAAGAACATTTCTTAGTAACATATTAAATACTTTGTGTCCAAAACATTCTTTTTAGTTGGAGGTTAATCTACTCCAGAACCAGTTGGCTATAATATTGCTTCTTTTGTCATTATCATTTGCGTAAAAATGGTATATTAATTTGTTAGAGTTCACTTGATCCCAATTCTTTTTTGTTAGCAGACGTCTATAATCCTTTCCACAGCAACCACTTGTAAAAGCAGAAGATTATGACTTGAGGCAGGATATGAGCAGCAGGAACAGATCAACTTAAAAACAAAGATCCTGTTTGAGTACAAATGCTATTGTTAGCACAGAGTTGGGGTGAGTCAAGTGGCAGGATGTCTATTAGAATATAATAAATTCGTATCTACGCCACATGGCATGCTAGCCAGAAGACACATCCTTTTAGCAGTTATGTGATAGACTACATATTTTTATACCTTTACTTATTATACTTTTGCCTAGTCCAGTAAACCATTCCCTCTGAGAATGGCTGATATCTAAACATCTGAACAGCTTTTTGGTTTTCTGTAGATTTATTTTTCTGTCTAAAAAGTTTCCGCACTGTTACACTTTTCCCAAAATCTGCTAAAAGCAGGGATTTGAAATTACACTACCTCAAGGTTGTTCTGAGGTTAGTAATAGCCATTTTGGACTATTACTATCTTTTCTTATGATGTGTGTGATCCTTCAGAGAAAAGAAGGAGATTGTTTTTTTCTTTGTCCCTGTATTTAAAGAAAGGAAATACAATAACATTATTCCCTTTATTAAAAATTCTTGTTTTTAATACTGATAGTTTAACTGACCTATCTAACACTAATATATGTGACTCAATTTCAAAATCTTTTTGAAGTTTAATTTTTTTTCCTAATATTTTTCCTGTTAAGGTCAGTAGGAAGTAACGAAGGTACCAAGTGACAGAAAACATTCTAGTCAAGTGTGGAAAAAAACTTACTTTTTGTAAAAATCTGAAAAATTCTTACATGGCATGGATGAAATTAATAAATATACAAAATGCAGTGATGGAGTCAGATAGAAGTTTCACTTGGGACAGTCCGTACAGTTATTCTAACAACTGACACCACATACAAGGAGTAATCTGTGCTTCCCAAACTTCTGTTGACTGTATTTTTTTAATAGACAACAAAATATATCCTGTTTATATATGATACGAATTTTGTCTCAGTGTATCTTAATTTGTACATGCATATATATATATATAATGTATTGCACACCATAAAATAGTAAAATTCCACATAAGCATCTCTAATGGCAAGTCAAACAGAAGCTTTGGTAGAAGAAAATGTTTGGAGGGGTCTCTAATCACTGCCATGTGGTGGCAAGAGGAGACTCAATATAATGGTTTTAGTGGGTTTGTTTGAATACTTGCTACTGCATGGATTAGGATCCCTCTTCAGTGTCCTAAAGTTTGCAAGGTTAAAAAAAAAAAACAAAACAACATAGTCTTAAAATTATCTTTCTAACTCCTGTCTGAAAAGGAGATTTTATTGCACTTGATATATGGAGGTTCTCAGATCATCCTACTGATGGCACTTGGGCTGCAACTATATTATCAATGAATAAGAAAACAGAAGCCATGGCATTTCAACAGTATGAATTCTTCAGACTGTATTATTTTGTTAGCCTGAGGCAGGAGACTGTGCTCTTAGTACTCGTCTGTGCAGAATGAGTAATATGAGACAAATGTGTAACCACACCGCGTGTGCAATATGTCCAGATACTATGGACTAGCTGGTCTTGCTGTGCGCCACAGGCAGCCAAGTATCTCTCATGGACAATAGACATATGTTAAAAAATGATAATTTTATTATACTGTCTGGGATTTCACCCCACACAGCTGATTCTAAAAGCGTTATAACAATGACGGTGTTAACTGTGGGTCTGTTTATCCCATTAGAGTCAGAATTTTGTACTGTAAGGAGTTGGTTTTACCAGCAGGATTTTCTGTTACCTAACCAGAATTCTGTATTTTTGCGTGAATTCTATGCAGGGCAGCAACTGAAAATACGTATTCCCAGTGCGATCTATTTCGGTGTTTTAACACGGCTTGCATTAGCGTGTGTGATAGCTTGAATTTTCTTTCTTCGCCAAAGCTGCTTAAACAATACAATGACAGATTTCTGCTTTTATTCTTCGTTAACGTCATTCTTCATCCTCTCTGCCCCACATCAGGGAGGAAGTGTTGTGAGTTTGCTATTTTAATGAAGAGAAATGAGGCATCTATCAACCAGGATTTATACTGGAGAGCACATCAATTCAGTTGCCTTGAGCTTGCTGAGTTTGCATATCCAGGGCCAAGCAGCGCTCTCAATTACTCCCGTGCAACCCCATTAACTTCAGGAGGTTGTGCAATTCAAAAGTGGCTTCGCAGAACGCGGGGCAATATTAGGGGGAAAAAAGGCTATCTGTTAGAGAAGTCGAGCTCCAAAATATTGTTTTTGGTTATCTAAAAGGAGATGTGCGTGCAGTCATAATTACACTTTTGAAAGGTTAGGGTAGTCATTGTATAGTAATTTCATTGAGTGTTTCTTTGTAGATGTGCCTAACAGAACAGACAGCCTCCAAAAAATCACTGCAGTGAGGGGGAAAACACTTCCAGCCCTGGAAACATATTGTAAATCATATGTCTTTAGTAGACTGTATCCTGTAATTACTGTTAACCGTAGGTTGTTTCTTCCTCTTTCTCTCTCTAGGAGCTATGCCGTCAGCGCATGGCAGTGAAAACATCTGATCGCCCGGAGCCCCTGCATGCTTCTCGAATAAATAGCGTTTCCTCACAATTTAGCGATGGGCCCATTCCCAGCCCCTCGGCCCGGAGCAGCACATCATCCTGGTGCGAGGAGCCAGTCCAGTCCAACATGGACATCTCCACCGGTCACATGATCTTGGTAAGGCATTTTTGTCTTCACGGCACGAGAAATTTTGTCAGAATTTAAGGTACCTGCTCAGCTTTTGGAAAGAGATAACTTTTAAAGAAAGGGAAGCTGTCTTTTCACAGGTAAAAAATATTCCTGAGCTTCGTTGGTAACCTTAGCTTTGTATAATTAAAACTAAAGGGATTTTTATTTCCATTTCTTTTTCATGATATTGGTTTTTTCCTCTCTGGAGAACATTCTTTTATCTTGGACATACAAATTGTTTGCATGCTTGCTTTAAAAAAGATAAGCCCTGTGTTGTTCTTTTGTCCTATTAATTTATGTTTACCTCAGCTTGAACAACTGAAGAAAACTGCTAAATTTCTGATCATCTTGCTGTTCTTTCTCATGTATCTTCAGTGTGCGGAGGTATCTGAGCTGAGAAGGCAACAGAATATTAGTGATATGGAGCAATTTGTTTTCCATTATCCTTAGAAAAGGGATCTGAATTTTGAGCCTTGCCTGAATTTTGTTGTCCTTGGCTGAATTTCTTCCAAGCTGGATCTATTCTATGTTTGAAATGATCCAAATATATTCTATTGATGGGAGTCTGCATTGGAAAACTTGGGTTACTTCCAAACACGACTTGGCGACCAGTATCAGTGTAGAAGATGGACATGTGAAGATCTGTGTGTATGTAAGAGTCAGAGTCCAGTGGTTGGGACTGGCTGCAGCTTGTTTCTGTCTCTCTCTGTTAGTGTCCTGCTGGGAGAGCTGTAGAGTAATTCCCCATTTTTTGTGCCTTATTTTCCTCCTTCTTTAAATATTTACTGTCTTTGTGGCATGCATTGAAATTAGCTGAGAAGAAGTTAGGTGAGGGTGAAGATGATGAGTCAGGTGTTATTTTGCTTTCTATATTTGATTTCTGCTACGTATTCGTATGGTTGATCTAAAGTAAGCACCCTTTCCAGTTGGTAGTGTTGTCGTGCTTTTGGAAACTTCCCTGTTGGTATATTTACGCATCGCTGAGAAGACTCACCAGTGAGGTCTCTCAGAAGAAAACTTCTCTCCACCATGGAGAGACTCTTTTGGGTCATAATTTTTCAACTTCTTTCTCTCTTTTTCTGGACTGATATTGGAAAGTACTATCTTCTCAGATATTTTTCAACTTCTTATAAGTCACCCCACGTAATGGAGAAAGGAATGAAGGCAGGCAAAACCCAAAGAGCTAATTTGACCTCAGCCAAGTTACTGACCTCCTTCAGCCTTCATCAGGTCAGCTATAAAACTGAGCAAAAGCAGGGCAGAATTGTAAACCAGATGCTTCATCAGAGTTTGTCATCCTGAGTAAATGCTTCTTCCCCTGCCCCTGCCTATTCCCCCCAAAAAAGGAGTTAATTAAGTATTATGTTAAAATCTTGCATACAAGTGCAGTTTGGAAGGGTTGCTCCCATGACAGAAAATCATTTGTTACAGTTTTTACTGTCCCACTTTCGCCTAACCAGAATTAAAATTCGTGTGATTTCCTTTCATAGTTGACTAAAATGCTTTGGGGAAAAAAGAAGGTCTCCAAATGCCCAACCTCAAAATAAGTACAAATTCCTGTCGTAAGGTTCTAAGGCAATATATTTGTATGGAAATAAGAGCAAAATTTCCTATGTAGATGGAAATATGCATTTAACATTTCCAAACAGTTTTAACTACTTTAAATTGAGCAAAATTGTTTTCAGTTGTATTATTGGGAAAAATAAAAAAATCACAAAATCAAGCTTAAAGGAGAGAAAGTTGCATATGGGAACCACTTATTCTGGCTCTGGGAATTTCTGCAAAATTGCAAGACAGAATTGTCTTCATATGGCGATAAATAAACTTTAAAAAATAGTCAGATTGGTCAAGATCACTGTTAACGGTGTTCAGTGTCCATAATTCAGTCAATCCTGTTTAACCCTGGATGAACTCATGCATATGTTAGCTATCTAACAGCATATGTTATATCTTAGATGGTGAGGGTTCAAAGAAGGGTAAAAGAAATGCTGTAGTGTCTTGAGAGTACCAACCACACAGAGAGAGTAAAAATAGTTGATTTGTTTAGTCTAAACTGAACAAACAAAAATCAGGGATTCAGGGGAGTCTGCTTATGTGCTTTGAAATACAGGATGGGGAAAAATTGTTCTTAATGGACGCAGATGATACAATTAGGAAGAAAATATGGGTTCGAATCGAAAGGACGCATTTAGCTTGGATATCAGGGCAAGCCTAATAGGAGGGTCAGGCAGGCAGTGGTATGTTTACTTAAGGGAAGTAGTTAAGCCGTAAATTCAAGATTTGCTGCAGGCGAAGCTAGGTTAGGTTTACATGGGAAGATCAGCATCGCTCAGCTACAGCACTGAAGCAGATGATTGGACTTGATCAGAAATGCTCGTGTTTTGTGTCACTGTGGGTCACGCTGAAACCAGAGAGCTGACCCAATTTATGTTTTGCTCAAAAATAAATGCACATACCTGTAATACCTTATTTGCCTGAATTTCTCTCCCTCTGGAGATGCTGTGGCTTGTTGGACTTCAGCAATAGAAGAGGCTTGCCAGAGTTGAGCTTTCCCTCCCCTTGCCCTGCAGCTACAAGTGGAGGAGAGCGAGGGGCTACTTCGCAATTTTTATACCATTCGATACAAGAAGTTTTCCATTTCTCCCCCTTTCCTGCTACCACAATCCTCTTATCTTTTAAATTTTGTAGATATTTTCTGTGAAAAAAATCTCAGTGCCTAAAAAAGCAATGAGAAATATTAGCAAGGGGCCTAGTAACAATCACAAATGCCATCTGCTTTGCAGGGTAAATGCACTTACCGGTCTGTAAATGTGTTTTCCAGCTCCACAGTGTGCAGCAAAGTAGCAGTTAGCTGAGCTAGGGCTCCTCAGTCTTTATTGTTCGTAGGTGCCAGGACCTCCCCAGAGAAAATAAAACAGTGGATTACTGTGTAAAGTGGCAGCAGGAAATATTTTATTTTGATTTATAAACAGAATAAATCTTCAATGAAAGTAGCTTAGAAGAAATGTGTCTGTGACTGCTGAATGACTCCATGTAATCTTGCTCAGAGGTACGTTGGTCAGAAACATTTCTGTAAAGCTGTTTAATTTGCTGGAAAATGCTAGCACGTCATACCTGAAGTGATATCCAAGCCACCTCAGCTTTGGGTTTATTGTAGCTTGTAGTTGGCCACAGGTACTGTTTTCTTGGAGGACGTGCTACTTGTGGTTAGCCCATCATTTATAGTACTCAAGGTCTGGAGAAACCAGGAATCTTCCAAGGCCATGTGGCTGCGGGGCAGTCTCCTCACTTAGACTGAAACCAGTCTTTCAAAGAGAAAAATCATTGTGGCATTTCTGCCACTTTCTGCAGAGCAAAGACAGTGTCTCTGCACTGCTGACAGTAGCATGAGGTAGTTCGTACTGTTGGCAGGGAGGACTCCGGAGGCCCAGAAGGACAGCGATAACAACATTCAGAGCTTTTTTTCCTTTTTCACGTTCTTTTTCCTCACGTTTATAGCAGGAGGATGGCCCATATGGCACTTTCTGATTCTGTCTTTCTAAAAGATCCAAGCACTTTGGAAAGTGTAATTAGAGGAGCATGTTTTATGCAGTTGTGTTTGTGGCGCTGACTGGCTGGTTTCAGCATGAGCAACAACAAAGAAGTGCCCTCATTTCAGTCACCGTTGGTTTTGCAAGAAAACAAGTGTTTTTTGGAAGGTCACAGCAAGGAAAAGACAGGAACTCAGAAGCAGATTTCCATCCATCCACTTTATTCACATATGTACATCTATATTTCAAGTGCCAAGAGAAGTCCTAATAAAGTGCAACACTTCCCTTTTCAGTCCAGCAAGAAAACCAGGAGGGGTTTGGAGGTGTCCAGGAGAGATTTAGTCTCCCTGACTTGGACTCCTACCTTATACCTGCATTTTAGGCACTTAATGAAGTGGTGTTATTGACTTGAGTCCGTAAGTTCCCCTTCTAGCTGGTGAAGTGAGTGGATGGCTATGAAGGTCTCCAGAGAGTTAGGCAGAGAGTGGACTTCTCTTGGGAGGCCTCCTGTTGTGCCTGCACCATCCCATTGATGTCTGCAGCTTAGATGAAAGAGTCTTTTTTGTTTGTGCTGAAGCACAAGTTCAGCACGTAAGTTACATAGATTGGATCCCACATCTGCTTCGTATGTTACCGTGCTTGTTTGGTTAAAATAATTATAATCTTTTATGAGTTTTTAAATGAAGAACAGTACTGCAAGAAGGGGGTGTATGCTTTTGATGATAACATTTTGAAGTTGTTACCTGAATACCATATAGGAGAGGGAATTTGCAGAAGCAGAAGTGCTTTTCCATGTTTTGGGGTTTTTTCCTTGTAAAGACAGACGTGCAAAATTTGGAGCATTATACATAAATCAGAATTTCAGGAAGTGTGAATTTACAAAAGGTCCTCTTCAGTACTTGTTTAAGCTGCAAGTCTGAGGAGTCTTCTCCCTGAGGGTATGAAACTGCTATATGTATTGGAAATAATAATAGTCTGTGATAGTTTGTGCGTACTGTACTTTTCAGAAGGAGAAGATTGTTTCATAACTGGGCTGAACGAGGCAGTGGGAGCAAATGAACTAGAGACTGAAATCTAGGGCCTCACATCTAGGACATGTAAGTCCACCTGATCCCCTTGTCTTTGGCAATATGCCTGCAAAACCAAAAGGACTTTCCCCATAGAGAAGTGAAGGATGGCCTTATATGAGAACTTTATGTCAAAAGAAAGTTCTGGGATAGGCTGTGTCCCAGAAGGTGACACAACCTGAACTGGGGGACATGGGATGGAGACCTGCTGCGGGGAAACCAGTCAAACCCAAGACGTTGAATTTTGCATCCACTTCAGTTTTGATGCTCGGTCAATGGCAGGATTGTTGTGGGACTGAGAAGGGTAACAAGGAAGGAATAGTTTCCAAGGTTGAACCTGGGGTTTTTTGATAACATTGGTATCCTGTAGTCTCTGCATAGTAACTTTCCG